TTTGGTGATTTTGCCAATAATCTTGGTTTTCATACTTATCTGAAGTTTTGTTAGTTATCAAGTTACATCGGAGGTTTTGTTAGTTATCTAGTTATATCCGAGGTTTTGTTAGTTATCTAGTTATATCCGAGGTTTTGTTAGTTATCTAGTTATATCCGAGGTTTTGTTAGTTATCTAGTGATATCCGAAGTTTGTTAGTTATCTAGTTATATCCGAGGTTTTGTTAGTTATCTAGTTATATCCGAGGTTTTGTTAGTTATCTAGTGATATCCGAGGTTTTGTTAGTTATCTAGTTATATCCGAGGTTTTGTTAGTTATCTAGTTATATCCGAGGTTTTGTTAGTTATCTAGTTATATCCGAGCTTTTGTTAGTTATCTAGTTATATCCGAGGTTTTGTTAGTTATCTAGTTATATCCGAGGTTTTGTTAGTTATCTAGTTATATCCGAGGTTTTGTTAGTTATCTAGTGATATCCGAGGTTTTGTTAGTTATCAAGTTATACCCGAAGTTTTGTTAGTTATCTAGTTATATCCGAGGTTTTGTTAGTTATCTAGTTATATCCGAGCTTTTGTTAGTTATCTAGTTATATCCGAGGTTTTGTTAGTTATCTAGTTATATCCGAGGTTTTTTTAGTTATCTAGTTATATCCGAGGTTTTGTTAGTTATCTAGTTATATCCGAGGTTTTGTTAGTTATCTAGTGATATCCGAGGTTTTGTTAGTTATCTAGTTATATCCGAGGTTTTGTTAGTTATCTAGTTATATCCGAGGTTTTGTTAGTTATCTAGTTATATCCGAGGTTTTGTTAGTTATCTAGTTATATCCGAGGTTTTGTTAGTTATCTAGTTATATCCGAGGTTTTGTTAGTTATCTAGTTATATCCGAGGTTTTGTTAGTTATATAGTTATATCTGAGGTTTTGTTAGTTATCTAGTTATATCCGAGGTTTTGTTAGTTATCTAGTTATATCCGAGGTTTTGTTAGTTATCTAGTTATATCCGAGGTTTTGTTAGTTATCTAGTTATATCCGAGGTTTTGTTAGTTATCTAGTTATGTCCGAGGTTTTGTTAGTTATCTTGTTATGTCCGAGGATTTGTTAATTATCTAGTTATATCCGAAGTTATTTTAGTTATCTAGTTATATCCGAGGTTTTGTTAGTTATCTAGTTATATCCGAGGTTTTGTTAGTTATCTAGTTATATCCGAGGTTTTGTTAGTTATCTAGTTATATCCGAGGTTTTGTTAGTTATCTAGTTATATCCGAGGTTTTGTTAGTTATCTAGTTATATCCGAGGTTTTGTCACTTGTCAAGTTACATCGGTTTTGTAAGTGAATTATTTATATCCGAGGTTTGTTACTTATCTAGATATATCCGAGGTTTTGTTAGTTATCTAGTTATGTCCGAGGTTTTGTTAGTTATCTTGTTATGTCCGAGGATTTGTTAATTATCTAGTTATATCCGAAGTTATTTTAGTTATCTAGTTATATCCGAGGATTTGTTAGTTATCTAGTTATATCCGAGGTTTTGTAACTTGTCAAGTTACATCAGAGGTTTTGTTAGTTATCTAGTTATATCCGAAGTTTTGTTAGTTATCTAGTTATATCCGAGGTTTTGTTAGTTATCTGGTTATATCCGAGGTTTTGTTAGTTATCTGGTTATATCTGAGGTTTTGTTAGTTATCTAGTTATATCCGAGGTTTTGTTAGTTATCTAGTTATATCCGAGGTTTTGTTAGTTATCTAGTTATATCCGAGGTTTTGTTAGTTATCTAGTGATGTCCGAGGTTTGGTTAGTTATCTAGTTATATCCGAGGTTTTGTTAGTTATCTAGTTATATCGGAGGTTTAGTTAGTGAAAAAGTTATATTTATACCCAAATTGTATAACAATAATCAAAGAAACTGAAATTGTTTATCAATTAAAGACAGTAAAATTGTATAACAAAGACAGTAAAATTGTATAACAAAGACAGTAAAATTGTATCACAAAGACAGTAAAGTTGTATAACAAAGACAGTAAAGTTGTATAACAAAGACAGTAAAGTTGTATAACAAAGACAGTAAAATTGTATAACAAAGACAGTACAAAGACAGTAAAATTGTATCACAAAGACAGTAAAGTTGTATAACAAAGACAGTAAAATTGTATAACAAAGACAGTAAAATTGTATCACAAAGACAGTAAAATTGTATAACAAAGACAGTAAAATTGTATAACAAAGACAGTAAAGTTGTATTACAAAGACAGTAAAATTGTATAACAAAGACAGTAAAATTGTATCACAAAGACAGTAAAGTTGTATCACAAAGACAGTAAAATTGTATAACAAAGACAGTAAAGTTGTATAACAAAGACAGTAAAATTGTATAACAAAGACAGTAAAGTTGTATCACAAAGACAGTAAAATTGTATAACAAAGACAGTAAAGTTGTATCACAAAGACAGTAAAGTTGTAAAACAAAGACAGTAAAGTTGTATAAGAATCATAGAAACTAAAATTGTATTACAATCAAAGACATTAATATCGTATAACAATCACAATTTACATAGCAATCAAAGAAAGTCTAATTAATCAGCCACGAACTAAAGTCAAATTATTTAGCAATCGGGTTATTGTCAAAAAATATCACAATATCAGAACTTGCTATGTGTTTTGTATAGTTAAATCGTACAGCTATCTACCTATTATCAGTTGTCAATGTATGCATATGATATTGGGCAATCCCATACTTCATAGTCATACGGTATAGTATATGATTAAAGCGTATGTCACACGATAGGCATTTGTCTCTTTTGTCAAATTACATATCATGGTCATATTTTGTCACATTGTCAAATTATACATTTTTTTTTTATAAAATGACGTATTACTTTATCAAATTACATACCATACATGATATGTATTATGAAATACGGATTTTGATTACGCTATAATGAAAACAGTGGATACGACATTCCCACGAGTTAAATGTTCCATAACGAGAAGCTATATGAAACTGCTTCAGTAATCCAAGACACTCTGACCATTTCCAATCCCGGTAAAAAATGCCAGGACCTGGTATATTTTCAGGGTCCGTCTATGTCTGCCTTACCTTAAATGTTAATGTTTCGTGCAATTTTTTTCCTTCGTTGTATCTTGTCTGTAATGTATAGCCGTTAGGAATACTGACATTCACTTACCTCCTCAGCGGTGTCCATGCTTATCAGCTTATACTAATCAGTCCATATCTAAATATAAAATACAAAATAAGTTTAATATGCAATATTATTAACATAAGCGTGTATATAAGATATAAAATTACATCCATAATTCCCAGTCGTTTATTTAGTTAAACAAGATAAATAAAACTGCCAACAACAACAGGGATGTCCCTATACACCTGCACTATATCAAATTTCATCCGTCGCCGATTCGCTCTCCGTTGTCACATAAGGGAAAGGGGAAATAACTCTACTTTAATTTTAGAAGAAGCTTTAAATAGAAACTTAGTCATTTGAGAAAGAAAAAAATATTTAAGGGAATATTTTAAAACGTGGAACGAATTCGTTTTCGAAACGTAATCGATTTCGTCTGGCGAGCAACTGTAGTCGTTATGGCAGGAGTAAAATTCAGTGTTAGTGATTTATAAAGTTGAGTTGAATTTTATAAGACACATAGACTCTCACGTAGGAATTGTGTGAACGTACATGCATGCCTGTCAAAACAAGCCAAAAGCAGGCAAAGTTTTAATCATAGATATTTTAGTCAAAGACAAAGATCTTAGCTGGAATTGATTTTAAAACACAATTGTTACTTTCGATTGATAGATAATGTTTAGGCATAGACACCAATGTAAGAGGGAAAGGGGGTAATGTGATGAACTTTGGTCTTATCTGGAGAGGAATGTGTGTGGAAATCGTACTAAAAGCACAGTTGGAGATTTAAAATGTTAAAAAGATTGTATGTGAAAATACTCAAGGATTAGATCTGAACTTTAATGAAGGATATGTTGAAATAATACACTTGGCATAGACAATGATTTTAATTGCATGGGAAACTCATTTATCGTATACATAGAGACACTACCAAGAATCTCTCGGCAGACTCTCAGCCTACGTTATTGTTACTAGTTAGGGACATCGACTGTTAAAATAGTCCTCATAGTTATTACTTATACTTGTTAAAAATTATATTTTGGACAGGAATAATTTTCAATAGTTTGTCAGAATGAAAACGGAGATAAGATTTGTCCTACTTTCTGCATCACTTTCCGCAAGCTTGGAAGTTGGCAACACTAATTAGCTGGCGTGGGGTACAATGTGATTGAGGCCTGTGCAGAACGGAAACCGGTCAGACAAAATAAGGTTAAGCTTAAACGGGAACTTTTAGTTTACTCCATATGGTGGAACTGAGTCCATTCCCCTTACCAGCTCAACAACGAGACCACAGAGCTCTCACTAGCCGTTAAAACGATGCTTATCGTTTTAAATTAATGTAACATCTTATTCTTTGTGTGTAAAGATATATGTCCATTTACCATTTTGTAGAATTTACACCATAGATAAATTACTCACATGCCTACAGCGGCATTTTACATCACTCGTCATTTTTGTGGCGGAGCAGTAATCAACTGGTGGTTTTAAGACGGAAACCGAAGGAATAGAAATAATTATCCTCCCGACCTTCCATTCCTCTACATGTGTACAACATTAAGATAACACGTTGTGTATACTCATTATGGACCTCACAACACGTTCATAATTGTTGTCACGGTGCTCTATAAAAACATGTGCAGCTGATTCCTGCATCATAGCTAGCTTTTGTGGTTGTGAGGTAGCATTGTAAGCGTTGAAATTAGATGGACAGGCAACGGCGTGGACAGTTGGTGGACGGGTGACGGTGTAGAAAGTAAATAGACGGGACGGCGTGGATAGTAGATGGACAGATGACGGTGTAGAGGGTAGGAGGTGGGTGATCGGTGACCATCGGTGACCATCGGTGACCGCGTGATCAGTAATTGGACGGACTACGACGTCGAATGAAGTTGGGCGGGTTGCGGCGTGTCGTGTGATGGCACAGTAAGTAGTTTGAAAAATGATGAAGTGGACATTTGTTGACGGGGTGACGGGGTGGGCAGTAGTTGGAGGGGTGACGGAGTGGACAGTAGCTGGAGGGGTGACAATGTGGACAGTAGTTGGAAGGGTGACGATGTGGACAGTAGTTGGAGGGGTGACAGTGTGTACAGTAGCTGGAGGGGTGACAGTGTGGACAGTAGTTGGAGGGGTGACAGTGTGGACAGTAGCAGGAGGGGTGACAGTGTGGACAGTAGTTGGAGAGGTGACATTGTGGACAGTAGCTGGAGGGGTGACAGTGTGGACAGTAGTTGGAGGGGTGACGGAGTGGACAGTAGCTGGAGGGGTGACAGTGTGGTCAGTAGTTGGAGGGGTGACAATGTGGACAGTAGCTGGAGGGGTGACAGTGTGAACAGTAGCTGGAGAGGTGACAGTGTGGACAGTAGATGGAGGGTTGACTGCGTGGACAGTAGCTGGAGGGGTGACAGTGTGGACAGTAGCTAGAGGGGTGACAGTGTGGACAGTAGTTGGAGGGGTGACAATGTGGACAATAGTTTAGGGGTGACAGTGTAGACAGTAGCTGGAGGGGTGACAATGTGGACAGTAGCTGGAGAGGTGACAGTGTGGACAATAGTTTAGGGGTGACAGTGTGGACAGTAGCTGGAGAGGTGACTGCGTGGACAGTAGTTTAGGGGTGAAAGTGTGGACAGTAGCTGGAGGGGTGACTGCGTGGACAGTAGTTTAGGAGTGACAGTGTGGACAGTAGCTGGAGGGGTGACAGTGTGGACAGTAGTTGGAGGAGTGACAGTGTGGACAGTAGCTTGAGGGGTGACAGTGTGGACTGTAGTTGGAGGGGTGACAGTGTGGTCAGTAGTTGGAGGGGTGACAGTGTGGACAGGAGTTGGAGGGGTGACGATATGGACAGTATTTGGAGGGGTGACAGTGTGGACAGTAGCTGGAGGGTGACGATGTGGACAGTAGTTGGAGGGGTGACAGTGTGGACAGTAGCTGGAGGGGTGACAGTGTGAACAGTAGCTGGAGGGGTGACAATGTTAATAGTAGCTGGAGAGGTGACAGTGTGGTCAGCAGTTGGAGGGGTGACAGTGTGGATAGTAGCTGGAGGGGTGACAGTGTGGACAGTAGTTGGAGGGGTGACAGTGTGGACAGTAGCTGGAGGGGTGACTGCGTGGAAAATAGTTTAGGGGTGACAGCGTGGACAGTAGCTGGAGGGGTGACAGTGTGGACAGTAGTTGGAGAGATGACAGTGTGGACAGTAGTTGGAGGGGTGACAGTGTGGACAGTAGCTGGAGGGGTGACAATGTTAATAGTAGCTGGAGGGTTGACGATGTGGACAGTAACTGAAGGGGTGACAGTGTGGACAGTAGTTGGAGGGGTAACAGTGTGGACAGTAGCTGGAGGGGTGACGATGTGGACAGTAGCTGAAGGGGTGAAAATGTGGACAGTAGTTGGAGGGGAGACAGTGTGGACAGTAGTTGGAGGGGTGACAGCGTGGACAGTAGCTGGAGGGGTGACAGTGTGGACAGTAGATGGAGAGGTGACAGTGTGGACAGTAGTTGGAGGGGTGACAATGTGAACAGTAGCTGGAGAGGTGAAAGTGTGGACAGTAGTTGGAGGGGTGACGATGTGGACAGTAGCTGGAGTGGTGACGATGTGGACAGTAGTTGGAGGGGTGACAGTGTGGACAGTAGATATATGGGTGACAATGTGGACACTAGTTGGAGGGGTGACAGTGTGGATAGTAGTTGGAGGGGTGACAGTGTGGACAGTAGATATAGGGGTGACAATGTGGACACTAGCTGGAGGGGTGACAGTGTGGACAGTAGTTGGAGGGGTGACGATGTGGACATTAGTTGGAAGGGTGACGATGTGGACAGTAATTGGAGGGGTGACAGTGTGGACAGTAGTTGGAAGGGTGACGATGTGGACAGTAGTTGGAGGGGTGACGATGTGGACAGTAGTTGGAGGGGTGACAGTGTGGACAGTAGTTGGAGGGGTGACAGTGTGGACTGTAGCTGGAGGGGTGACAGTGTGGACAGTAGTTGGAGGGTGACAGTGTGGACAGTAGCTGGAGAGGTGACAGTGTGGACAGTAGTTGGAAGGATGACAGTGTGGACAGTAGTTGGAGGGGTGACAGTGTGGACAGTAGTTGGAAGGATGACAGTGTGGACAGTAGCTGGAGGGGTGACAGTGTGGACAGTAGCTGGAGAGGTGACAGTGTGGACAGTAGTTGGAAGGATGACAGTGTGGACAGTAGCTGGAGGGGTGACAGTGTGGACAGTAGTTGGAGGGGTGACAGTGTGGACAGTAGCTGGAGGGGTGACAGTGTGGACAGTAGTTGGAGGGGTGACAGTGTGGACAGTAGCTGGAGGGGTGACAGTGTGGACAGTAGTTGGAGGGGTGACAGTGTGGACAGTAGCTGGAGAGGTGACAGTGTGGACAGTAGTTGGAAGGATGACAGTGTGGACAGTAGCTGGAGGGGTGACAGTGTGGACAGTAGCTGGAGGGGTGACAATGTTAATAGTAGCTGGAGGGGTGACAGTGTGGTCAGCAGTTGGAGGGGTGACAGTGTGGATAGTAGCTGGAGGGGTGACAGTGTGGACAGTAATTGGAGAGGCGACGTGTTGAACAGTAGTTGGAGGTGCGACGTGGTAACAGTTGTTGGAGGTGCGACGTGGTAACAGTAGTTGGAGGTGCGACGTGGTAACTGTTGTTGGAGGTGCGACGTGGTAACAGTAGTTGGAGGTACGACGTGGTAACTGTTGTTGGAGGTGCGACATGGTGGACAATAGTTGAAGGAGTGACAGTGTGGACAGTAGTTGGCGAGACGACGTTTCTTTAATATCCTTTCCAGCTAAATATTAGAAACCGTGCTTTTGTGTTATTGGACTGTGATTCACCTGAAATGGAGGGTAAATCGTCGCCTGCATCTTACAGCTGAGCCACCACCTCATTTACATTTATTTCTAGCAATTCCTCTTGGATGTCTTAGGACACCAAATGTATGCGTATGATTACTAATTCACTCGTAAGCCAAAACTTTACAAGACTTTCCATCATTGTTTTCAGTGTTTCTAACAGGTTTTCGTATTGGAAAGTCCGGTTGTTCTGTTTTTGATGTTGTTGCATCTTGCTCTATCCTTTCTGCAAGAATTTATTTCGGCATTGGACTGCATTTTCACTCTGTGAATGGGATTGCTGGTGCTATTTTATTGCAGTTTGTCAAGTATTACTATCAGTGCTTTCCTAGTTAATTCATAATCTAGAATATTTACATAGTCGAAACTCGTTATCTCGAAATTCAAGGGAAAATATTTCAACTTATCCGTATTTCGACTCAAACGAAATGAATAAATAAGGTTTACGACATCAGTTGCCTGACGTTGACAGCGGTTGAGCAAAGTAGGGTTACGATAGCACTCAAACAGCGTGGTTTAATCTGATATTTTAAACGGCAGTAAATAAATTAATTTATCCTACTTTCTTCTTTTATTGTTTATTCATCTAAATAACAAAACATGTAATAACACATTCAATTAAATGCTGTTGTACTCACGTCGTTCCGTCCGCACAGGTGTACAATATCCTTACTTACCAAGCACGAATACATCATCTATTTTACGGAATGGCTTAAAACGAAATTAAAATTTGCTTTTGATACTCTACAAGAAACGATGTCAAAAAGACTTTATTATGAATATACAAAGGTATGAAAAACGCGGCACTACTTGCTATAGAAAACATGGTACAAGCATTAGACTTAACGAATCACGCACAGATATAGACTCTATCAATGAAAAATACTTTCAGCACTTCATTGTCTAAACACTAAATCTTACGAAGTGACCAATCTTAGCCCTTTAGTTAACAAGGTAAAATTAGTTTCTCTCGGAATTGTCGGGATCAGATTTCGTCAAAAAGTTCGTACTGGTTCGATGGTTTCGTGTTTATCGTTACTGAAGATGCATGCAACCAAGCTAAATGTTTTCATGTTTGGTGTAAACACGCTACTTTTTTTAACGGACAGGTAAATCACTTCTACAGAATGGTGACACTAATTAAGAAGCCAACCTTTTAATTGGATAATTTAACCGTTAATTAATCGCCAGTAATTAGCCATCTATTACGCACAGGTGACTTTCTACTCGTATGTATTGACCCATTTCGTCTGAAGACGTGCCGATGTTTTGACAAAAATTACTTTCGAGTCAACAAATGACTTTCACATTGCTTTACAATTGAAGGGACTGTAAAAAATCGCTTCGACTCAGCCGAAATTTCGACTCAATGAAATTCGAGTCATTTTAACTTAAATTACAAAGATATAGGGAAAAACTCGGGACTTGAAAAATATTTCGACTAAAGCGGAATTTCGACTCAAGCGATTTCGAGACAACAAGTTTCAACTGTATACAGTATATCGATAAAATACACCACAGTAAACATTGCTATAACTCGCCAACCTATATAACACACAAAACAGAGGAAAAAACAGACCTGGAATTTCAAACAGATAATAAAAAAACGTAAAATCATCCTAATTTTGGATTTTATTTTTCCCTTTTGCTACAACTTTATTTTCTGATGATCGTCTGATGATGCAAGGCGAACAATACTTATGATAAGTTCGCAGTTTCTTCTTTATTAGATATATATATATATATATTCATATTTACATGGCGTGTGGTTTACTTATAACACTATACTAACTTTAACAATATCGGTTTAAAACAGCACAACATCTTTTATGTTGGATAAAATAATGGACTGTATTGATTCGACAGGCATTTCCAAATAGGTACAGATATCTTTTAAGATTCTTTCATCTAACATTATGTATGTTCATCGAAGGTCATCGGTGGCTAGTTTCTGACAGGTACCCCGGATAGAGTGCTGGTTTCGTGGAAATAATGTTAAATTCTTGTTATGTCCGAGGTCAAGGTAATCAAATATCACAGAGTCCTATCCATTTCCAGCAGACGCAGAGTCCTGATATTTTGCCAGCATGTACAAGTAATGGTACGCAATGACGTTTCCTTACTCTTTCACCTTGACATTACATTATTAGCCATGGGGAAGAAAGTAAGGATTTTTCATGAAATCCAAAGGGTCCGGTCCTAATATATGTTTTACACACTCTCTCCTTAATCTATGGGAGATCCCGAATCCAGATATATACATTGAAATCCTATAGGAATGTCCTAAAACTACACGAGATAAAGGATCCCAATCTGTATATTCAAAGAAACTTTACGTGTGAGCAAAACTACAGGAGAACTACAGTGTTGATACCTATATTAAAAACCTTTAGGAATCCACCGTCACCCTCAAACTACAGAAGACCAAGGAACTGAATATGTATGTTGAAAATCTTAAGAAATTCCCCCTCTCCCCTCAAACTACATTAGATCAAGGATACTGATATCTATGCTGAAAATGTTTAAGAATCCCTACCCCCAACCCCCCAACCCCCCAACCCCCCTGAACCATCAAACTACATTAGATCAAGGATGCTAATGTCTCTGTTGAAAACCTTTCGGAATTCCCCCTCCACCCCTCAAACTACAGTAGATCAAGGATCTTGATATGTATGCTGAAAATCTTTAGGAATCACTCCCTCACCCTCAACTACATAAGATCAAGTGTCTTGATATGTATGTTGAAAATCTTTAGGAATTCCCTCCTCACCTCTCACCCCTCAAACTACATTATATCAAGGATGTTAATATCGCTGTTGAAAATCTTTAGGAATTCCCCCTCCACCTTCAAACTACAGCAGATCTAAGTTCATATCTTGCAGCAATTGTTGTGAATGAAGTTCCATAGAAATTCCCCATCAAATTTCAGTAGCATTACTTGGATTTTAAGATTGAAGGTGTCGAATATGTTCAGGAATTTAACCATTCTTTGTGTTATGTCACCATGACAACGTGTATGGGGCATAGGTAAAATTAAAAATAAATGTGGAAAATGATGTAAATGTGATAACTTATTTATAAACTTAGGTATAGCGAGAATTTAGGTTAACGTAACAGTCCGCGAAATAAAACAGAATTAATGCAATCTCACCTTGTTAACAGTACTTAATTATCGTTTTGCTAATTTCTTTTGTCTAACCCTATTTCCTAGTTGCAACACCTGTCTGCGAAGTGACTGCGACCATCTCATGGAAGGACATCATAGAAGAAGGTAAGCGATCCTGCTTTATATTGTCTATATAGATTTATCAATTAATGGATTGACGTCGCTATTACGCTGACCTGGTACTATAACTCTTCATCTGGTCACATCAGGGAGAAAATCCTTCGGAAGTAGCATAATGATATTCCATCAGTAAACATAAAAAAGTAAAATTATTCTTTGTTTATCCGAACGATATACAAATAATGGATATTTATATATTATTTATAAGGTTCTTGTAACTGTGAAATTAATGACTAGTAAACAGGTTCTCAATTTTCCCCGAGGAGGGGACAAAGTTAACTAATTTATAAATATTATATTCCGTTGGAAATTATGCAAACGTTGTTAGCTTATACACATTCGGTATTTGTAGTTCAGGTCATTTGCTATTGCTTTATGTCAAAAACAAAAATGACAACTTTTATAGAACACGTGTTACTATTCATTCTGTTTCTTTCTGTTATCATTAAATTTAAAAAGGACTAATTGTGTTAATGTATTATATAGTGTTGTTGCTCTCAGTTGTTTTCGACCAATTTTCCAACATGGCCACCACAACCTCTGATTGGTTGAAACCTTTTTTGTTATATTTTTATACTGCAGTCGTTTCATTTAAATTTGTTCGTGCATAGCTCCCAATCTACCCTGTAGTTTCAATCCTAACTGTTCCAACACTAAAAAGCCTTTCGATGCCTTATTCGGTAAAGTCACCGTCTTTGAGAAGTTTTTCCATAGAAAGTGGTAGCTCCTTTCAAACATTTGTCGCTGGATATCCATTTTTTACCAGTTTCGGTTTACTAACAGAAATTCTTTTTTCCCATTAAACAAAAAAGTCACCATAGAGATGCTGATAAGTATTTATGTATCGTCCGAAAACAGCAATATTTGGTTTGTAATTATTCATTATGACCGTATCCAGGCAGCTCCAGTGAGTGTATTATATTCCATTTATTTCATTTACAGGGGCAGTGTCCATTTACAATTTAAACCTATCTAGTTTTGTTTCTGATGAAAAATCTTTTAAAGATGCATAATTACTGGATTAAATCGTCAGTTATTTTATATAAGGCAAATCTACAGAAGCATTTACTTATTACTGAATGAGGAACCATCGATATCTTCCAATAGAGAATAAGTTGATGTCATCAATACCTTCATTAAATGTCGGTCACAAATACATGGACGTTTCATTTACGGTATGGAATTAGACACATATTTTGGTTTGAAGGGTATTTTATTTTCAATGTTTAAACATCACAAATAAAATTACAAATACTGAACATGGAATAAGAATTGGAAAACAAGCTGGATATTTGAAGTCTCAAGAAAAATAATCTACTTAAGTCGTTTAAAACATGTAGAACTTTTGAGTAGTATCCCTTTAATTTACCTTTGGTGTTGCAGACATGAAAAAAGATGCAGAACAGGATAGATAACGTGTGTACATAAACATTCATATCCTGCACCAAATAGGTATGTATGAATATGGTAATAGTTACTATGATATTTAATATCTACATACTTACCACTGTTAGTGAGTTACATTCTGTACACCTGCTGCTGTTAGTGAGCTATCATTCTGTACACCTGCTAGTATTAGTGAGCTCTAGTTCTGTACACCTGTTGCTGTTAGTGAGTTTTCGTTCTGTACACCTGCTGCTGTTAGTGAGTTATCGTTCTTTGCACCTGATACTGTTAGTGAGTTATCGTTCTTTGCACCTGATACTGTAAGTGAGTTATCGTTCTATACACCTGCTGCTGTTAGTGAGTTATAGTTCTATACACGTGCTGCTGTTAGTGAGTTATCGTTCTTTGCACCTGATACTGTAAGTGATTTATCGTTCTGTACACCTGTTGCTGTTAGTGAGTTATCGTACTATACACCTGTACATGTTAGTGAGTTATCATTCTTTGCACCTGATACTGTAAGTGATTTATCGTTCTGTACACCTGTTGCTGTTAGTGAGTTATCGTTCTATACACCTGCTGCTGTTAGTGAATTATCGTTCTATACACCTGCTGCTGTTAGTGAGTTATCGTTCTGTACACCTGTTATTGTCAGTGAGTTATCGTTCTTTGCACCTGATACTGTAAGTGATTTATCGTTCTGTACACCTGTTAATGTCAGTGAATTATCGTTCTTTGCACCTGATACTGTTACTAAGTTATCGTTCTGTACACCTGTAAATGTTAGTGAGTTATCGTTCTGTACACCTGTAAATGTTAGTGAATTATCGTTCTTTGCACCTGCTACTGTTAGTGAGTTATCGTTCTTTGCACCTGTAAATGTTAGTGAGTTATCGTTCTGTACACCTGCTACTGTTAGTGAATTATCGTTCTGTACACCTGACACTGTTACTAAGTTATTGTTCTGTACACCTGACACTGTTACTAAGTTATCGTTCTGTACATCTGATACTGTTAGTGAGTTATCGTTCTTTGCACTTGATACTGTTAGTGAGTTATCGTTCTGTACACCTGTAAATGTTAGTGAGTTATCGTTCTTTGCACCTGCTACTGTTAGTGAGTTATCGTTCTTTGCACCTGCTGCTGTTAGTGAGTTATCGTTCTGTACACCTGATACTGTTATAAGTTATCGTTCTGTACACCTGTTACTGTTAGTGAGTTATCGTTCTGTACACCTGCTACTGTTAGTGAGTTATCGTTCTGTACACCTGTACATGTTAGTGAGTTATCGTTCTTTGCACCTGATACTGTTACTAATTTATCGTTCTGTACACCTGCTACTGTTAGTGAGTTATCGTTCTGTACACCTGCTGCTGTTAGTGAGTTATCGTTCTGTACACCTGCTGCTGTTAGTGAGTTATCGTTCTGTACACCTGTAAATGTTAGTGAGTTATCGTTCTGTACACCTGCTGCTGTTAGTGAGTTATCGTTCTGTACACCTGCTGCTGTTAGTGAGTTATCGTTCTGTACACCTTCTGGTGTTAGTGAGCTATTGTTCTGTACATTTACCCAGTGTTTGTAAGCAATTGTTCTGTACATCTGCCTTGTGTTATTGAGCTTGTGAGTTATCGTTCTGTATACCTGTAAATGTTAGTGAGTTATCGTTCTGTACGCCATCTATTGTCAGTGACATTCCTTACTTAAACAAGGACCATGACATTGTGTACTAAACACGGATCATGACATTGTGTACTAAACACGGATCATAACATTGTGTATTAAACAAGGATCATGACATTGTGTATTAAACAAGGATCATGACATTGTGTACTAAACACGGATCATGACATTGTGTACTAAACAAGGATCATGACATTGTGTATTAAACACAGATCATGACATTGTGTACTAAACAAGGATCATGACATTGTGTACTAAACACAGATAATGACATTGTGTATTAAACAAGAATCATGACATTGTGTACTAAACACGGATCATGACATTATATACTAAATATGGATAATGACATTGTGTATTAAACACAGATAATGACATTGTGTATTAAACAAGGATCATGACATTGTGTACTAAACACGGATCATGACATTGTGTACTAAACAAAGATAATGACATTGTGTACTAAACACGAATCATGACATTGTGTACTAAACAAGGATCATGACATTGTGTACTAAACACGGATCATGGCATTATATACTAATTATGGATAATGACATTGTGTATTAAACACAGATAATGACATTGTGTATTAAACACGGATCATGACATTGTGTACTAAACAAGGACCATGACATTGTGTACTAAACAAGGACCATGACATTGTGTACTAAACAAGGATCATGACATTGTGTACATATATTTAGATCATTCATGTTTCTTTATTAAAATATTCTTTTGTTCCACTGTAAAGGAACCAAATATGATGTACCTGTAATAAGCGAGATTGTATTTAAATCCGATTTGATAATACTGGATAGAGAATGAATGAAGATTCCGTTACTTAATGTGCTGAAGAAAATTCCTTGATAATATGGTTCATCTATTTAAAATGTTTTAATAAAATTGCACCTTTACGTTTCTGTTATGTATTTATGGGAATGTTACTGACAATTACCATGGCCTTCTTTCAGATGCAGGCTTGGTCTACACGTCTATATAATCAATTAGCCTTTGTGCTTGGAATTTTATCCTTGTCCGGAATCCCTGTGGATGTGGCACGCTGTACAACACAGGTGATACCCGTCAATAGATACATATTATGATATTACACAAATCTGATATAAGATTATATATGTCTTCTCTGAATTTAAATTGTCGTATCAGTGTTCATTTTATTTATACCAATCGCTTGGAGTAATGGCAACATAGGTAAACCTGCTTCTGGTAAGGGATAATAGCGCAAAACTCATGTCAAATACACTATTTCAAGGTTGGTGGGAAACCATAGGAAACGATAGAGATAGCGAGAGGCAAGTGAAATGATAGGTGCAGTCAGACAGAATGAAGGAAACAGGCCGATAGACAGCCGAACGAGATACAGACGCTTGAATACCGGAAATATTGTCGTGAAGCGAATAGTATAGGAGACCAGTGAGGCCGTGCTGGTGTCTAACGTGTGTTGGTATGGCTGCGATACTCTCACACCCCGCTACAGCTCTATTTTAAATGACATAAATCTCACATAAATACTTCCCCTGTCAACTCAATATCACTTGATCACTAGGGCAGTCACGCGGACAAAATGCGTGCATATCATTGGCTACTGCGCCGTAGATGAGCCGGATGAAAGAACTTGCTATAGTTGGCTTACTGCCCTTGTCGGCCGTTTCCATTGGTTACAGATATCGATTGCTTATATAGATGCGTCGTCTTATCAAATTAGTTTTCCCGAACCGGTGGTAGGCGGAGCAAGCCACCGTCAAATGAACACTGGCTGCCGGAACTACTTTTTAGTGGCAAGCAATAAAATAGTCTTATCGACCAAACATCAGCCGTACGTTTAGACCTGGCTAGCCATTCAGATGGGCCCAGGGTGCGGTTTGCACGGTTAACCAATAAGAAGACCGAGTTTGTAGACGGTTAACATCACGCCATCGGGGTAACAAAGTTGAAAAGGGAAATCATGATGTTAATAAAAAAAAATCGACTCTGAATATTTAACAGGCAAAACGACTAAAACGCGATGATGTTTTTTTATTAGTAAAAGTATATAAACGCGATATATTCTATTCCAATAAGATAATTCAATAAGTAATAAAAATGATATTGTATAAATATATATGTGTGTGTGTGTGTGCGTGTGTGTGTGTGTGTGTGTGTGTGTGTGTGTGTGTGTGTGTGTGTAATTGGCTGCGGTGATGCTATCCTATCTGGGTAGAGATAGAGGTAAATATATCGTTTATATTGCTAACCGAGATTTGAGTACTTGCTACTTAAACAGACAAGAAAAACATCTTATGATTACTTTTACCTCCACAATATGACCTCATTCGTCCTTGAGCTCTCTAAATAACGCCGTTTCTTGGCATAGATGACTGAAACTCGCTACCATTACTTACTTTAAAAAAAAAACATTAAATTAAGGAGCTGGAATAGACAGGATTGAATTGAAATCAATCTGTGACAAATTTATACAAATCAATATCGTAAATTTTATTGAATAATATATTTTAAAGAAAAAGTCAGGTATCAATTTCTATAAAATCTATTTAGCTTACGTAAGATGTATACCATGTCGAGTCGATACAAATGTATATAGTAATTACAGTCATGTATAATGTATTACTTTCATAAGAAACAACGGTTTTCTCGAATTTAAATCACGGAATTTTTAACAAGAGCAAATAATACAATTGTTATGTATGCTTCAAATTTGTTTTCTTTGATGGCATGCTATGTATATCGCACAACTATTTGATTTACACAACCAGTTAACACTACAAAACATTAATGGAATAAAAGGGAAACCTCAATGTTAGGAAAACTTTGCTTAGAAATATAGAATGATTTTTTTAACGACAATAGCAGAAATGAAGCGGGCGTAGGTGATAAGAGAACTGTTCATTACTAAAAATGAAACATATCTTTATGGTTTAATATATATGTCATTTAATATCGCTCGTCGCGTTGCATGTTCAAATAATTAGTAATAAATTCCTTTGTAACACCTTTTCGTACAAATAAGTTTTCGTTTCAACGTGAATATATTGATGACCCACGTCACGAAGGTGAATGATGTCATCACCGTGATGGTATATGCTCATTAGTATCCAAATGTGTTCAAGTGTCTTATCTCCTCAATAAACACATATTATGAGAGGTCAGTTTTATCCAGGTTCTCTTCTGAAACTATTTAACTTAACATAAATACCGTACCATACTGTTTTGTAACAGAACTCAGGAAGAATTTCGATCCTTTATGTTTTTTCCTTATCCAGAAGTGTTTGTACATGATAAGGGGGACAACTCCAGCATGACTGTATAATTAGATGTGCAATCCCCGTTTTTGGAATGTGTTTTTTGGGTTTTTTTTCTGTTTAGTAATTTCAAACTTTAAACAATTACCTCCTTTTCTAACTCAGTGTTTTATAGTGGTCAGTTGTCTTCACTTGTATAATTTGCACCATGCTATCGCTGATCTATGTTTAGACGACTAAAAATAAATTATGATAATTTCCAGACAAATACCTTCCCGCTAGTGTCACCGTGGCAATAAAAACGAACTTTGTAACCGCTCTTTGATAAATACAAACGGTCTTTTATTTTCAAAAACAAATCTGCGCACTCATACTTGTAAAGTCACAGTCGTACTTATTCAAAAGAAACCCATTACCATGCACGCATATGAATTCACGTTTTTTTATATAACTCTTCATATGGGGGAATTGAAATTGTTTTCGTACACACCTATGCATTTACAATTGTTATCTTTCACAAGCTCACAAATACACATTTATACTTGTACATATATACATGTGTTCAGAATAATTATTGTTATAATTATATTTAACACGCGAGCAGTAACGTGTAGAATTACACCTATTTTGTAATTTATACAAACTTGTACACAATTACACAGTTGTGGTAATGCTGTCCTATAAGTTTACAAATGAAATTATATACACCATTGATTATATAAATGAGTAATAAATCGCACGTATTTCATTACATAAACAATTGAATTCACTCATGTGATTATACAAATGTTATACAAATCTATTATTATACAAATGTGTTAATTTAACCTATAATTATAAAATTGTGTTGATAAGACCCTGTAATTTGACAACTTTGTCAATAAAACAAGTAATTCTACACATATGTTGATACAAACATGCAATCATACAAATGGGTTGATAAAAACCCTACCATTTTACACGTGTTGAGACAAACCTGTAATTAGACAATGTGTTGAGACAAACCTGTAATTATACAATGTGTTGAGACAAACCTGTAATTATACAATGTGTTGAGACAAACCTGTAATTATACAATGTGTTGAGACAAACCTGTAATTATACAATGTGTTGAGACAAACCTGTAATTATACAATGTGTTGAGACAAACCTGTAATTATACAATGTGTTGAGACAAACCTGTAATTATACAACGTGTTGATACAAACCTGTAATTACACAAATGAATTAACACAAACATGTTAATACAAAAGCGTGTTAAGACACACATGTTATTATACAAAACTGATAAGAAACACATTTCACCATACAAACGTAGTGACACACACATGCTATTATACAAACGTGTTAAGGCACACATGTTATTATACAAACGTGTTAAGACACACATATAATTATACAAACGTGTTAAGACATACATGTAATTTTACAAATTTGATAAGACACACATGTAATTTTACAAACCTGATAAGACACACATGTAATTTTACAAACGTGTTTAGACACACATGTAATTTCACAAACCTGATAAGAAACAAATTCTACCATACAAACGTGTTAATACACACATGTAATTATACAAACGTGTTTAGACACACATGTAATTTTACAAACCTGATAAGACACACATGCAATTTCACAAACCTGATAAGACACACA